ATACCGCGTTGTGATTATACCGCGGCGGGGACGCGGGAAATACGGGATCCGCGTTGCCTGTACTGTATTGCGTATAAAACAGGTTCTCGGCGGACTTCATATGTTCTTATTACATCTATTAGAACTGTTTAATAAAGGCTAAATAAATCAAACACCATGGATTGTGTAAAATTTGGAGAATACCGAACATGAAAACAAAAATATATACATGTATGTGACTTCACTTCTGCATATACTTCACGCCATGTAAAGCGATTCCGTGGTTTAGTGGTTATGTCTCTCGCTTCAAGTGTAACAGGTACCGGGATCGTATCTCGGTCGAACCTCACTTTCTTTTTTTTTTTTAAATACTTTTTTTTTTTTTTTTTTTTTACTAAATGATAGTATTCAGCATGTGAAATGAAAAATTTATGAGGTTATAAAATCATCATTACAGTGTGATAAAAATTCCATATAAAAAAATCTTCTATACACATAATGAAGAATAAGCAATCAAATCTTTATATGCATATTGACATACATGTATTTTATTTGCTTCAGTTTTCATGTATACATTTAATAATTATACAAATTCAGTCAGGGGGAGCCGACTTTTTCCCTAAGCGGGGGACACGAATTCTCTGAATTAGCTTGTTTATCGATCATTCATTTTTTTTTTTAATTGCTTCAACTCTAATGCTTTTTTTTTTTTTTTAAAGAAATCTAACCAATAATTAGTATAATTCTGAAACAAAAATTTACATTTTTGAAAAAAAGAATTATAATCTTTTTATAGTAAGATTTATCTCTCTTATTTAAAAGCCGATTAACTGTGAGTTAATTAGAATGTAGTTTTGCAGTAAAGATAAATTCTAGCTATCGCAACCGATCAAATGAAATACCACTGGGGACAGCATTTTCGTGGATTGCCTAAATTTTACAGGTTCATTGGGACGTTTAGTGTATTCCTTTAAACCTACAGAAGGAAAAAATGACTTTGTAACTCTAGAGGAGGGCGTTAATGGGATGAGTTTCGTCTTAATCTGACTTTTTAAATATTTAAAAACAGGGACATAGATCTGATTTCGATGCACCCTTACAAGTCGATGATTTTTGACACGGTAAGGAGAACATACAAAAAGAGTTCTTAGTTAGAACTTTACAAAGTATTTTTTTAACAATCATGTTATGAAGTGATCTTTCGTTATTTTTTGCAGGCAATCCGAATGATATATTACTTTTAGAATGTTATCCGAAAACAGCTTCTCTAGAAGTCTCTTTTGATTTTGTCTAAAATGGAATGAAATACCGGTATAATTTTGAATTCCAGATTATTTTTTCTGGAATGTAGACTTTGATAGAATTTGGTTGATTTTTAAGAAGAAAGACCAAAATCTAATTTTTTTGAAGGTATCTGTAAAAAAAACAAAAAAACAAAACTCACCTGACTGTTGAATGAAACCCTATATGTACTTAATGGCTTAAAATTTGACTAACTTTATATCATTTTCTAAATGACATTGCTATTGGCATCTTTATTTAACAACATCTGTATTAATTTTTACTAGCACCTGCGGTTCCCTTTTCTAAAGCTTAATTTCATAAAAATGTTTAAATCGATATTTAAAAAAAATATTATTGGCATTAGAACCACATGATCTTATGGACAGTCCCTCCCCTTCCCAGGACTCTCTTATAATGTAAAGTGGGTGTTTTTTGTAACACAAATATATATTTACACGTTCGTTCAGCTGTTTTGTTGAAAGTCATCATGTCGTAAGTTCTATAGTTTTATGGCCGATATGATGACCTTGTCAGCAATACAATTTATCTTTGAGTCAAATGCTGACTGACCTTTTCATACTAATTGTTAGTCCATTATTTAAACACTGAATTGACGACGGATTTTTCCGTTATTTCCCGGTCATGACAAGGAGCACACGACGGATGTGACTGGTCAGCAGGGGATACTCACTCCTCTTGGCACCCGATCCCACTTGCGATGTTTCGGACAGATCGATCCACTCTAAAGACTATTTCTACCTACGTAGCTATTAATAGCTACGTAGGTATTTAAACCTACCCAACGTAGCTATTTAATTTTACCTATTTTCTGCTTTACTTGCATTTTGTGGCCAAACGGCGCAATTTGGTGAGTACCAAATTTCTTGATACAGTTACACTGATGATGCATGTGACAAAAATTTGACCAAAAATGATTACTTCGTAAAATAACAATTTTGCATAGAAACTAATGTAAAATTGCCGATTTAGGAATTATCATTTTTTGCCAAAATTTTGTTGTGTTCACCATTATTGTGACTGTATCAAGAATGATAAGTATCAAAGATGCCCCCGTATTCACAAAATGCAGATAATAAAAAAGTATGTAAAATAGCCACTTTGAGTAGGTTTGAATACGTACGTAGCTATTAGTAGCTAAGTAGGTAGAAATACTAGTAGTCTTTGGAGTGGACCTGTCGGAGGTCCGTGTTGCTCTGATCCTTTTTTGTATTTTAATGGACTTTTGATATTGAATATTGTTCGTTATCCCCAAAATATAATATGTCAATCCTAAGATATCTGTGGTGCTTACAGAGAATGCATGTGACATTAACACTTTTTCCACACTTTCACATGTTAAATTTACACTTGAGTCTTTTGTATGATACTATGATTTACATTTTAATATGCATATAAAATTTATATTTTATTCTGAAAATCGTACACTTTATTCTGTAAAAATAAATGAGATTCAACGCAAGGATAGCTCGCTCTGTAAAATGTCTAAAGAATTAGGGACCCCCCCCCCCCATAGCAAATTAACAGAAAAACATGTTCTCAAAAAATAGAGGTGGAGATCACACACACACACACACACACCCTCACACACACCCTCCCTCCCTCACACACCCTCTCCCTCCTGTAACATTATTGTGGATAGTGGTATGTTACCTCAATTTTGTGGCTTGCCTTCAAACTATGCACTGCAAATCCCTGGAACTCCTCGAACGTGAAGCCCGGGCTGTTAACTGTCACAGTTCAATGGATCGCAGTATGGGAAGATAACTCTAAAAATGCAGTTACCTGTCCCTAATTGAGTATCCTAATCGAACACGCCAATAATTGGTTCAAACATATTTCTCAGAATGAACAAAATTTTGTTTGGCCAGCCATGAGAAAAGAAAAAAAGAAATACAATAAAATACTGTAACAAATTAAAGAACATAATTTTAGTTTAGTTTCTCAGAAAACCGGAAATGTCATCTTTTTTGGTTTCATTAACATCAAGGAATAAATAGTGGAATGTGACTTTTTTCAGCCTTTTAACCTGGTTGGGAATTCATCTAAATGATGCCTTAGCTACAATGTACAGGAAATTGTGAAAAGTACACAATTTGTTCTTCCTGTAGGAGGCTAAAACTTCGGAACTTCTTTTGTCTTTATGTTAAAGGAAAAATACTATTGAAAACGCTTTGAGATAAAATTAAACATCCAAAAATTAACTCAAAAGAAATTCACTTAACCGACCCAGATTATTTATAATTTCAAAGGAATAAACAGGAAATACACAACTAATTTTGGTAAATGTATGAACTCATGACTTTCTTCATTAACCATCAACGTCCTAAAATTTCAACGAAAAAAAAGATAAGCGGTGCTTCAAGTATAAATTGAATTAAAATATTATTAATCAGGTTATTTCTGTTTCAGACTTTTTTTCAAGATTTTTTTTAGTCTTGTACAACTATGAAATTCAAATTGTATATTAAAACTTGTCAAACAATGTCAGACATCAATAAAGTCCTGGGTTATGAAACACAGTGGATCATAACTGCAAAATGTAGCGTTATAGATTTATAAACTAGTACTAGTTTTTGACCATAACGCTATGGAGATTCGGTACTTCAAATATCAAAGACTAATATATACATCCATTACCATGGGCGGATACAAGATTTGTGATTAGGGGGGGCGTGGATAACTTTGTTCAGGCAAGGGGTCTGGGTTAGGGCGAAGCCCTGCTTGGGGCCCAGGGGGCGAAGCACCCGGAAGCTCCTGGGTATCTGTGTATTTTAAGAGTAAAACCAATCTCAATAATAGTGGTATTGGTTAGTTTTGTACCAAAGTATGGCATTATTAATACTAGTCATATCATATACTTTGAATGAAAGTGCCCAGGGGGCGAAGCCCGCGGAAGCTCCTGGGTTTTTGTGTATTTTAATAGTAAAACTAGGAACAAAAATAGTGGTATTGTACCATGCAAAGTATGGCATTATAAATATTGTTCATATCATACTTTGAAAATTTTAGGGGGGGGGGTCCCCCGCCCCCCTTAAATCCGCCATAATTACGCTTCAGGGGCCTGTTTTACAAAAGAACTTACGAAAAAGACCAAAAAACTTAAGATTATTGTAAAATTTTGCTTAATTAATAATTAAGCGTCCGGATAAATGAGGCTCCACTGTACATGTATAACGGTAAATGATATGAATTCTCCAAATATTCAGCAAAAATGTTTTTTAATCTTTATTTTTGGATGTACATGCATTGCTTCTGGTATATTCTTTACTGCAGCATCTGAGCAAAGGCACATGGAGGGACTTTGCCCTCAATTAATTCTTTAGCCTATACAATCTGCCTTTTATCTAAAAACTACAAAACTGTCTTTACATTGTTTAAGCTTACTTTATTGATTCTGAGAAAGAATAATTTAGTAACAATATATGTTGCAGTAACAACCCTTATTTTTAACAAAATGTATGCAGTTCATGTACACATTAACAAATGATTCAAACTAAAAAAAAAAAAAGTATATCATCCAAAATATCTCTATTGCCAAAAAGAAAATAACAAGACTGAAATCTTTCCTGGATTCTATGCATTGCTCTTTGCAAATAAGATAAAAAAGAAATGAAGTATAAAAAAACAATTAAAATCATGAACATTGCATTTTTCAAAAATTATAAAAAATGAAGAAAACAAGAGGCCCATGGGCCACATCGCTCACCTGAGAATCTTTTGTCATATTGGTCTTTACCAGATTTCCCCCTTGTAATACATATTGTGGCCCCGCCTACCCCCGGGGGTCATGATTTGAAAAATTTAGAATCTACAGTACCCCAGGGTGCTTCTACATCAGTTTCAGCTTTTCTGGCCCAGTGGTTCTTGAGAAGAAGATTTTTAAAGATTTTTCCTATATATTTCTATGTAAAACTTTGATTCCCCATTGTGGCCCCGCCCAACCCCCGAAGGTCATGATTTGTACAATTTAGAATCTACATTAACCCACAATGCTTCCACATGAGTTTCAGCTTTTCTGGCCCAGTGGTTCTTGAGAAGAAGATTTTCAAAGATTTTTCCTATATATTTCTATGTAAAATTTTGATTCCCCATTGTGGCCCCGCCCAACCCCCGGGGGTCATGATTTGAACAATTTAGAATCTACACTACCCCAGGGTGCTTCCACATCAGTTTCAGCTTTTCTGGCCCAGTGGTTTTTGAGAAGAGGATTTTAAAAGATTTTTCCTATATATTTCTATGTAAAACTTGGATTCCCCATTGTGGCCCCGCCCAACCCCCGGGGGTCATGATTTGAACAATTTAGAATCTACACTACCCCAGGGTGCTTCCACATCAGTTTCAGCTTTTCTGGCCCAGTGGTTCTTGAGAAGAAGATTTTCAAAGATTTTTCCAATATATTTCTATGTAAAACTTTGATTCCCCATTGTGGCCCCGCCCAACCCCCGGGGGTCATGATTTGAACAATTTAGAATCTACACTACCCCAGGGTGCCTCCACTTAAGTTTCAGCCTTATTGGCCCAGTGGTTCTTGAGAAGAAGATTTTCAAAGATTTTTCCTATATATTTCTTTGTAAAACTTTGATTCCCCATTGTGGCCCCGCCCAACCCCCTGGGGTCATGATTTGAACAATTTAAAATCTACAGTACCCCAGGTTGCTTCCACATCAGTTTCAGCTTTTCTGGACCTGTGGTTCTGGAGAAGAAGATTTTTAAAGATTTTTCCAATATATTTCTATGTAAAACTTTGATTCCCCATTGTGGCCCCGCCCAACCCCCGAAGGTCATGATTTGGACAATTAAGAATCTACATTATCCCAGGGTGCCTCCACATAAGTTTCAGCCTTATTGGCCCAGTGGTTCTTGAGAAGAAGATTTTCAAAGATTTTTCCTATATATTTCTTTGTAAAACTTTGATTCCCCATTGTGGCCCTGCCCAACCCCCGGGGGTCATGATTTGAACAATTTAGAGTCTACACTATCCCAGGGTGCCTCCACATAAGTTTCAGCCTTATTGGCCCAGTGGTTCTTGAGAAGAAGATTTTTTAATGACCCCACCCTATTTTTGTCTTTTCTTGATTATCTCCCCTTGTGAGGGGACTTGGCCCATTGTTTTAACAATTTAAATTCCCCTTCACCCAAGGATGCTTTGTACTAAGTTTGGTCAAAATTGGCCCAGTGGTTCTTGAGAAGAAGTCGAAAAGTTGAAAAGTTTACAGACGGACGGACAGACAGACAGACAGACAGACAGACGGACAGACGGACAGACGGACGGACGACGGACAAAATGTGATCAGAAAAGCTCACTTGAGCCTTCGGCTCAGGTGAGCTAAAAAGCAAGACATTAGATTTGATTGGGTATGTGATTTTTTTTGCCAATCAAATCAAAAGTTTGTGAATGGTACTTTTTTTAAAAATTCTGTATCACTGTACTTGTTTAAAGCACAGGCTTTACAGAACATTCATGAACCTCATTTTAGACTACTTCAGTTATGTACTTGATAATTTTTACAGGGTTTGAAATCTAAGCTCAGCGACATTGCACTCCAACCATCTATCAAGTCTCTTTCTCCCTCTCCCTTTCTCTTTCTCTCACTTTCTCTCTCTCTCTCACTCTCTCTCTAACAAAACTCAAAGAATGCAAAAAATAACAATAGGTTGTCAAACAAAACACATTTCAACATTTAAAACATTGCAGTGCACCATTTTTTAAATGAACATGTCCTCCTTTCAAACAAACAGTAATACATGTACCAGGATATTTTTAATTGTTACTGTAGTTTAATTTATGAAAATCATTCTCAAACACATACAAACATGTATCAATATTGTGATATTTTAATGTTTTCAATGATATAAAATAACAAATAGCAAATGAAAAATGATGAAATGCAGCTTCCTCAGTACAACCAAGAACACAATGACTCCACACAACCAAAAATCCCTTTCTCTCCTTAGGCCTTTATTTTTAATTTGCCACACAGAAAAGCCATGATCAGAGTTTTCTTTGGTAGTACAAAGCAGCTTGCATCAACAATGTGAATGGCCGCTATCTAATATCTACACTGGTAAAAGTTATCTCCCTTTCCGAGTCCTATCCTGTGTCATGACTTTGCCTTTACGAAAAAATTCTACAAATCCAATGAAAATCATAAGTCATACATTTGACACATTCTTTAATTAAATGTGCATCCAAAAATTATTTTTATACAAACGTGGAATACATGTATACTCTTTAAGAATTGATTTATCTACTTTTAAGAGAAAAAATGGTACCATGTATAGCCTTTAATGTTTTTTTAAAGCTTACCTTTAAATATGTTCTAAAAGTTTTATAGTCTGTCTTTAAAGCTTCACAGAATTCCTGAATGAATGAAAAAAAAAAGATTTTTCAGGATGCTGTATATTTAAACTCTGCATTCTACATGTACATGTATGTATCAGTCCTGCTTGTCCATGTTACTGTATAGTTTTATAATGGAAGGCATTTACAGTTTATCAACTCAATATTTTTTTTTTTTTTACTATACTGTACATGTAAGTATGGTAAAATTACCTGGACGTTTTCAGCAGGTACATTAAGTTTAGGCAGGTAATCCGTGGACAGGTAAGTTAAGAACTCCTGGCCCTGGGGAAATTTAAACGGTTTATAAAATATGTATACTACATGCAAATCTCCAGTTCTATTAATCATAAATAACAAAAGAAGACAAATACAATATAGAAACTTACCCTCTTATCAACCATACTTTTCAGACAATGTGCACATTCTCCCAGTGCCTACAAAAATAATCTTCTTTCAAAACTTCAAAACTCAATGACTCCTTACATGACAAAGGTTGCTAATTGATCCTCTTACTTAGCATTATACATTTTTTTTCATGAAAACTCATTTAAATACGCATATTTCTTAATATCAAAATTAAAAGATCTTCAAAGAAAGAGAAAAAATTAACAAATCTGAAGGTGCATGTACAGGTGATTTTTTTTTTATTTAATTGTAAGGAGACAATTAACTTCTGAATGAAAAATTCTCACCAATGAGGTTTGTCCATCATTCAAATCAAATGTTGGTTTCATGGGACCAAGGAAGCAGGCAGGTAGAAAACTCTTGTACATAAAATCCACAAAGCCCACCAACCCATTGTTTCCACCTGAAACGGGAATCAAATAAATAATGTACCAAGGTAATTCTAAGTAAGCAACAGGAGGGAGAATTGTGACAGGAGACATCACCCAATTTAATTAATATTTATTAATATGATCCATTTTGTTTACTGCAAAACGTACACTCAATTTTTATGGAGAAAGTGTCCATTATCATAGATTAAAATAGTAAAGTTATATATACAAAAAAACCTAATACATGTGATGTTTTTAATGCACATTAGCACTTATAATGAAATAAGACAAGGAAGAAAAACTGACATTGAAGCAAAAAGAGTTTTCAACATACCCCAAGTCTCTATCAGCTTTCTCATGATGTTGTAACACATTTTTTGACTCTAAAAGTAAAAATAAAAAATAAAAAGCATTAAGATTGAGTTTCTTTGTAAATCTGTATGAGATGTGTCATGAGATCAAAAATAACATGGAAGAATTGTAAAATCACGTATTTTTGTGGGTTCAAATTTTCAAGGTTTGAGGAAATAGTATTGGTCTGAGGGGATTTATTTCGTGGTTAGAAAATTTTTAGTAGTGATGCACACGGAATTTTACGTTTGGTGGTTGTCATAAATTCGTGGTTCTCTCCATACCTCGAAAACAATGAAAATTTAACCCCATGAAAATTAGTGATTTTACAGTAGTATAAAATTTTTGACACTGACCTGTGGGTCTGGAATGTCTGCGGCCCCTTGGACAATAGTCACCAGTAAATTGTGAAGGTTATTCATCTCTGGATATAAAGAAAACAACTTCAGATAAGACAAAAACACCTTTAAATGATTTCAATATTTTTTAAACTATTTAAATAAATATTTAAATTGAAGGTCCCCCCTCCCCCTCCCAAGAACCATACCCTGTGTAAGGTGTCTAGGAATTCAAACTTGTGAAAATGTAATACAGTTAAACTTCAGCTTGTTTCTTATACACAGTGGATGTCTGAAGCCCCAACCACATTTTCTTCAAGTATTTTACCCTTCATATTTTGAACCCACTTGAATTTTTTTCTTGGTCCATACAAGTTTGAGATAACAAGGTTTGACTGTAAGTATTTAGTACAAACTACTTATTTTAGCCCCATCCTCAGTTTGAAAATGGCATTGAAAAAAATCTACTTCGTCAACAGGAAGTTTTTCACCCCCTATATGCTCCTATTTTCATGTCTCCAACACATTTTACCTTGGTTTTTGAGGACGTCCAGACAGTCATTAGATATAATGGTGGACAGAAATAAATAGTAACTTCTTTGTAGCATCTTCTTCTCCACGGCCGTGACCTGATCAAGGTCATCTGTTGGGGTCGTCAGGACCTGGAAGATGGTGCTGACTAAAGGCATGAACACTTGTTGTAGAAAGGGAACTATGGCAGACTGCAAGGTAATACAAACAAATTAAATAAGTACAAGGATGAAAATAAATTGGTTAATATAAACATTTAAAAATAGGTACGAGTTCAGTGTTATTTTATGCAGCATTGAAGCTACATTTTTTCTATTCACACATTCTACACATACACTCACATAACAGTTATTACAAAATTGCTGAGTATACTTTGAAAACGGTTGCATGTGATAATCTCCTGTGTCCATCAGAAATCTAAACTGTAATGTAACCCATAAATGGCCACTATTTGCTTAGGTTAAAAAGGGAGGATTTAAATCTTAAAATTCATATCTAAAAACTTGACAAAAAAGTACTATACAGGGCTTGTAAAATATACACAATGCATCAATATGAAACATTGGGGGAAAATAACAAGTGCAGCATTGATTTACTTTGAATTTCATGATTAACTGGTTCATCAGAGGTAAGAAGTCGTGGAGTTCCTTGGCCTCGGGCTGTTTCAGCAGGTTCTCCAGGACGACGGGGACAAACGGGAGGATCTCCTTCTCCAGACAGACCACCATCCGGTGGAGGTACTGCCTGACCCCCATCTGTATCAGCTGTCGGTGGGTGGGGACGTTCACGGCCTGGAGGAAGATCTTCAGCAGGTCTGTAAATGTTTCCACACAGCCACAGGCCTGCATGGTTTGCTGACTAGAAAAACCTTTACTCACTCGACTGGAAACAGAAAATAGGTGTAGGAATTTACTCTTACCATAGAGCTTTCATATAATTTAATGTGATTTACATGATCAAAATAAAGCCATCAATGAATGATCATATACGACATGATAGTATTCCATCAAATACTTTGAAATATCATAACTTAAATTGTTTTCTTATTCAATGCAAAACAAACTTGGATGTTAAGTTTTTACACAAAACATACATGTAATAACACAATTTTCTGAAAACTGAGAGTGAATTATCTGGGGACAAAGATACATTTACTTCTATTTACAAATGTTCTTCAAATGAAATCTCAATATTACCTGGCTAGTGATGTTGCCATGTTGATGCTCTGAGCGTAGGCGTACTGTCGTTTTTCATCTGTCTCCACCTGAAGCTTGTTCAACAAACTCTCAAATTTACTGGCTATAGGCGAAAGTAACTCTTTCATAAGGTGGTGTTTTCTCTGGAAAAATGAAAATCTTTGATTATTGAAAGAGTTCTTTAAGAACCCCAAAATTTGGGTAAAGTTTTTTAACACACAAACAATGAAAAACAAAGAAGATGGAAGTTAAGTAAAGGGAAAAACATAGGTAATCAGAGATTACAGAGCTCACCTCAACGTGTGTTGTCTTTAAGTAAGGCAAATTAAGTCACACAATTAACGAACAAAAAGTGTACATTCAAAAATGCAAAATTTATGCAAATTTGATACTTTGGAATAGACCTATATAAAAACTAAAAACTAGTTCTTCATCATGAAAATGTAATTAAAATCCAGCATCTGAAGCAAGATTGAGAGTTTTCATCCCTTGATGCATCGTTTGTGCAACTGGTTTATATAAGCCTTAGTTTCTTGGTGATAGACTTGCATCCATAACTTTTACGAGGTCTATTATCTGGAAAATGTATGTCGAATTTAGCATCTGAAGCAAGTCCATTAGTGTGCATCCTAAGATGTATCATCCATGCAAGTTTGGTCAACATAGGACTTAAAGTTACTTGCAAATGAAACCTGTATAAAAAAATTAAACTTTCCACTAATCCAGAAAATGTAGGTCAGATTCAGCATCCGCAGCCAGCCTAGTAGAATGCACCCTTAGATGTACCATCCATGCAAGTTTGGTCATTATAGGGCTCAAAGTTACTTGGAAATGAATCCTACACCATAAACTTAACCTGTTTACTCGTCCAGAAAATGTAGGTCAGATTCAGCATCCGAAGCAAGTCTGGTAGTATGCATCCTAAGATGTACCATCCATGCAATTTAGTCGTTATAGGGTTCATAGTACTGTACCTTGGAAATGAAACCTGCACCCAAAATTTTAACCTGTTCACTCAACCGGAAAATGTAGGTCAGCTTCAGCATCCGAAGCAGGTCTTGTAATATGCATCCTAAGATGTACCATCCATGCAAGTTTGGTCATTATATGTCTCATAGTAACTTGGAAATGAAACCTGCACCAAAAACTTTAACCTGTTCACTCAACCGGAAAATGTAGGTCAGATTCAGCATCCGAAGCAAGTCTAGTAGATTACATCATAAGATGTACCATCCATGCAAGTTTGGTCATTATAGGGCTCAACGTATCTTCGAAATGAAACCTTCACCAAAAACTTTAACTTGTTCACTCAACCGGAAAATGTAGGTCAGATTCAGCATCCGAAGCAAGACTGGTAGTATGCATCCTAAGATGTACCATCCATGTAAGTTTGGTCATTATATGTCTCATAGTAACTTGGAAATGAAACCTGCACCAAAAACTTTAACCTGTTCACTCAACCGGAAAATGTAGGTCAGATTCTGCAGCCGAAGCAAGTTTAGTAGAATACATCCTAAGATGTACCATCATTGCAAGTTTGGTCATTATAGGGCTCAAAGTATCTTCAAAATGAAACGATCACCAAAAACTTTAACCTGTTCACTCAACCGGAAAATGTAGGTCAGATTCAGCATCCGAAGCAAGGCTGGTAGTATGCATCCTAAGATGTATCATCCATGTAAGTTTGGTCAACATAGGGCTTATAGTTACTTGGAAATGAGACCTACACCAAAAACTGCACCAAAAATGTTAACCTGCACCAAAAACATTAACCTGGTCATTCCTTTGCTGAAATTGCAGCATCTGAAACTTTGACTGGTACAATGAAACACACTAGCAACATCTTCCATGCATGTCTAATCAATATAGGACATAGAAGTACTTAAAAAGAAAACTGCTCCAAAAAACTTAACCTTAACCCGGGACGCCGACGCCGACACCGACGCCGACACCGACGCCGACGCCGAGGGTATCACATAAGCTCCCCCCAACTTCGTTGAGGTGAGCTAAAAACACAAAGAAAAGCATCTTAGCGGAAATCTTAGAAGTATTTACAAACAGTTCTGATCAACACAAAATACTTTAGTCATATGAACTTAAATTAGGGGAAGGAGGGGGTTGTAACAAACTTGTCATAATACAGGGGCTTGAGATTATAGATGACCCAATGCTGACCTCTGGAGAAAGACTACTGGAGACAATAAGACTGCTGACAGTCTCGTAGATAAATAACTGGTCCTCATTGGACAGGAGATGCTGGTACCCGTTGTCTGGTGTGTTGAGAACCAGTAAATCCTGAACGCGACTCAGCACATCCTCAACATAGGGATTCAACTGTCCTCTGTTAACATATAAAACAAACAGAATTCATCAGATTAGTAAACTAAACTTGAATTTGTGTGCAATTTTTCATCTAAAAATGATCAATTTGATGTGACCTACTCACTTCAGTCCTTTAATGAACCTCGAAAACAGATAGGAAGTCCGACTTCTGACTTGAGCCGATTCATGACGAAATCCTCGTTCATCAGTGAAAGCCATCTATAAGGAGAAAATTTCACTTCAAGCTCAACACACTGCACCACCAATATCATTCATTTTGAGACTCTTGATACATATCTCTATTAAGATGCAAAAAAAAAAATCCTTTACCAGTACGTCAGGAATGTGTTGTGGCTCAGCAAGGAAGAACTTTTCATATCGTGTGACGGTCTCGAAAAACTGCAGCTCCACAATCATGTGACCTTGACAGCTGACTCGACTAGTGATGAGCTAGAAATAAAACAGTTAAAAATTAAATTTCATAATTTAAGATATCAAATGTTAAAAAGTGTATTTAAATGTAAATGTTTGACACTTTACAAAATGGAGACTCATCAGGGAAAAATCTATATATATGTATCAAGACTTTCTCCCTCATTCACCCGATGTGGTGAAAAGATATGGCAAATGAAAGAGAACATTTTTTTTTTGGTATTATGATTTTAACTGTACTAACTACAAATTGAATTTAACCTACCATCCTCATCATGTTTTGAAGGGGACTGGCCTTGGAAATATCAGGATTAAACTGCTGACTTTGGGAACCCTGAAACAAAGAAGACAAAACTTGGTAGGAACTTCAGGCTTTGGGGTAAAAAAATCTAGTTGAGAATTTTCTTTATTTCAGTATTATTTTTCTAATAATTTATTTCAGAAAAGTGACCTTTAGATAAAAATCTGGCATTTAACACCTTATATTTAAATTCAAGTATTTTGAATTTATCATTTTCGGTGATCAAAACTTTCAATAGTGCTTGAAGTTACTCACTGATGACTGCTTCCTTTAACATTGGAAAGACATTTTTTTTAAAAACTTCATATTTTTTTAAAAATAATCAAATAAATGTTCCTTACTGGTAGAGCCTCCCCCAGCATGTACAGCATTGTGATGGCTACCTCAATGTCACACACCTTCATAGCCTCCCACCGGGGCAGGGTCTGACTGACCAGGTTATGTATAGTCACCACCATCAGCTCTGTATCCTACAGACAAACAAACATTTATAACAGGTTATGTACGGTCACAACCATCAAATCTGTATCCTACAGACAAACAAACAAACATGCATTCAAACAGTTTATTACATACTGTAACATACTTGTTTTACAGTTTCTTAAAAAATATAAATATGGCAAGAATTCACTGACCATTCAAGTATGATGTTTATTATTAGCTAAACTTCAAATGGGAATGGTTTAATTTTTTTCTCAATTAGTTAAACCATTTGTACTTAAAGCGAAGAAGATTGAGTAAATTAAGGTCTCTTTTCTACAATAATCAGTGATTGGGAAGGCCAAAATGGTCAGTGGGACTATGGCGCAACTGTCAACATTTTTGATGAGCCATTTCGAAAATGAATGGGCCCGTCAATATAATCTGAAGGGCCATTTCAAGAAATAACAAAGTGACAAACAAATATGAAATACGAGAGAAAACACGATCTTAATTAACTGAATCCGATTTTTAATGCAGTAAATGCAGCAAATTTAAAGGAACTTTCTTAGAATATAACTGACCCGTATTTTGTTTTAAAATTACGACAGTTTTGGAAAGGGAACAGCCCTACCATACAAATGAATGAAGTATCGCTTCATTTAACCGGAAGTACTTTTTGACAGGTTTCAACCAATGAGATTGACTGCATTTTTAAAAAACGAAAGTAAAACAAGAAAGAAAGTCGTAAGCAAAATATTTCCAAATAACATCGCTAAAAATTGAATGCGCATCTTGGCGCCATGATTTATTGATTTAATGCGCCATTTTTCACTTCAATGCGACTATGGCGCATGGCGCAAGCCCTTCCCAATCACTGAATAATTCAATTATGAAACAGGTTTATTAATGTCTAGTTACCAGAGCTGCCAGGTTTGTGAAGATGGTTTTCAGTTGTTTCTTGTATTCCTGAAACATGGCCTCTTCTTCCCCCTATAAAACAAGAAATTCTTTTACATTTACATGTTATAACATGATATTCTACATTTTTTGATTAAATAAGAATAAAATCAGACAAACCTCATGCTCGAAATTGTAGGAATCATCATATTTCATCTTCTTTATCACAATGTACAAAAGTCCCTAAAATTCAAGAAAACAGATTTCAAAACACAAGAATGTATAAATGAGGAATAAATTCCTCCAGAAATAATTTTTCATTATGTCAAAACCTTAAGAGTTCACATAAAATAGGCATAATTATGATGAATGGAAAGACTTTGGTACCCTTTTAAATAATCATACCTGTCAGATTTTTGTATTAAAGTACAAGTTATGTATACATATCCTTTATTGTGTTACATTACCTCGATGTGTTCTCTGTGTTTTGGAGACAGCTGCTTCAGTTGTTTCAGAACTCCGATGTATTCCTGTACAAACGCCACTACGGCCCCCGATACGTCGTCATCCTCGTCACCGAGGAAACGGAACATCAGCGGTACCTTCTCCTCCAGAGCTGCCATGGTAACCTGGCTATTTTCCTGGTCGTCTGACTTCTGTAATCTTTACGAAAATCAAGGAAGTCACATCAATTATCAGTCATGCAATTCATTTCATCTCAATAAACATACAACTATTTTTATTTCTTTTTCTTTTATAAGGTACAGGTGTATGTACAAGATAATTTTATGAACATGATGACTAAATTAAGGAATTTGCTCTCAGTTATGGAAGGAGTTTCATACAATTATATGTAGAATGCATTAGTCATTTTGTAGACCTATGAGACTGTATCAACATTTGTAGTATACAGTTAACTTGCAGTTCCATTGTAATGATTGTTGTATATTCTTACTTTTGCCAGCTGATGATAAGGTTGACTCCGATTCCATTGATCAGCTTAGACAGCTTGGACAAATAATCCCCCTCCTCCTCCTAAGTAAATATAGATCAAAGAAAACTGTGAATAGGTAATACAAAGCATATACTTTTGTTAATATGTAAACTTTATTTTTATGTACCGGTAATATAAACCAGTCACCACCTGGTCAAGAAAATTTCATATATGTTATTATACAATTACCAGAATTAGTGAAACTTTCGTTTATTCTTAATATTTTCTGAAATTAGGGTGTCGTAAAAATTTTCTTATGTAAGTTATCTTATGGAAATGTTAAAATAACTTTTTTTAATACAAACATTGAAATTTCTTTATATTTCAGTCTGTTAAAAAAAAAAACAACTTCAAATAAGCAGTACCTCTTGAGGGTTGAAGATTCCCCTGACTTGTAAGATGGAGGTGAAGGACTCTATGAGTTTTGTCTTGGCCACTGGTTCCATGCCTTTGTTTATGATGTCATGGATACAATCACATGCACTCTCCCGCAGTAGAGGCATGGACATAAACTCTAACAGCACCTGTAAACAGTAAAGAGTTGTTTATGTCAACCCCATTGTTGATTAGCAAAATAAAGCATACCCATCTCTACAATTTTAAGAAAACATTTTCATGACACATTTACATTATGCATGAAAGCAACACAATTTTTGAAATCAAAAAACACTTTAAGACTTTTCTGTGTGTTACCTGCATGTATTCTACCTGTAGGTGAATTTTTCATACAGGTAAGTCTTACCTGTACAAATTTATCGTTGGCGATGAGATTGATGTCTATCCAGGTGACAAACTTCCCGATGACGTCCAGACACATACAGGTAACCTCAGGGTTACTGGACTGAAACTGGGTCTGAACAAACAAAACAAAATAAAAGAGAGATTGAAGAGAGATTGATAGATCATTAAATCTTTTATCAATAAAAATCAATACAGGAAAACACAGTAAATATAGTATTCTAGAAAGAAAGTATGTTGCATCTGTAACAGCTAATATAATTTTTTCCCCCTTTCTTTCTTTTTCTTGATAAAGAAGATCATTTAGCTTTTTTATTTAATAACAAATGTTTTTTTTTTTTTTTTTTTTCGGGAGGGGGGGTGTTGGGGGGTGGATATTGGAGGGGGTATATCCTTACCAGTATAGTGTACCATGTCTCTGTTAGTTGTACCACACTCTGTTCCCTCATGGCATCCTTAATGACAGTGTTTCTTTGGATCTCCTAAACCAAAAAAATATTGCATTAAATATGGATTTTCCAAGGAGAGATAGAGATTTCTATTATACAATTGTACTTAATCTATGAGTAATTGGAATTTTCAAGGAAAAGCTTTTTCTCTGTGTCATATGATGATAACTACTAATACCATTATGAAAGAAATGCTGTTTTCTGGCATGAAAATGCACAGAATCCTTTTTATGCCCGTGATTACTCACTAGAATAGTATATTATAAATTGCAAAGCAAAAAAACAAACAATAATGCATCATTTAATACCTCAATATATTATTCTAATGGCTAATACGTACCTCATAAGTATGAACGATTTCCCTGTCTACCACCTCACTGTCTATACTTAGTAACACTCGGAGGTAGATGTCCACAGCCTTGGCGCTGGGGGACAGGATCCCAATCAGGTCGTTGAAGAACGAGGGCCAGCGGTGGGGGTAGTCCATAACAAAGGCAAGGGAGGCAATCTGGGCTACTTTGTTTCTTAGAAAACTACGGTCTTGGTTTGTCTCATTTCCCTGAAGAAATTTAGAGATTGTTTAGAGATTGAAAATGACATACCGGTATATTTGGATTTTTCTCAAACACTGGAGAAAATAAAGTTTTTTATGGCACATTCAATAAAAAAAGATTGTCAGAAAAAATCTTTAACATAAATTAAAATTTAACATAAATGAAAATTTAACGGTAAAAAGTGATTTAAACAAGAGGCCCATGGGCCACATTGCTCACCTGAGCACTAAGGGTAGGAAAAAGTAGAAAATGGCTTTTTATTGTTAAGTTTAAATCCAAAAGTAGTCCCATGACCAATCATGGATTTGCTATTTTTTAGAAAATGATTTTTAAAGAATTTTCCTATATATATCTTTAAAAACTTTGGTCAGCCATTTTGGCCCCGCCCTACCCCTGGGGGTCATGATTTGAACAAATTTGAATCTACACTACTTGAGCATACTTCCATATAAATACGATGAATTACGGCTTTGTCATTCTAGAGAAGTAGATTTTTAAAGAATTTTCCTATATATATCTATGTAAAATTTTGGTTGGCCATTTTGGCCCCACCCTACCCCCGGGGGTCATGATTTAAAAAAACTTGAATCTACACTATCTGAGCATGCTTCCATATAAATATGATGAATTATGGCTTTGTCATTCTTGAGAAGAAGATTTCTAAATAATTTTCCTATATATTTCTATGTAAAACTTTGGTCGGCCATTTTGGCCCCTCCCTACCCCCGGGGGTCATGATTTGAACAAACTTGAATCTACACTACCTTAGGATGCTTCCATATAAGTTTCATCTTTCCTGGCACTGTGGTTCTTGAGAAGAAGATTTTTAAAACATGCCACCAAATTTTTATTAATTCCCCATTATCTCCCCTTGAATGAGGGCGTGGCCCTTCATTTGAACAAACTTGAATCCCCTTCACCCAAGGATGCTTTGTGGCAAGTTTGGTTGAAATTGGCCCAGTGGTTCTTGAGAAGAAGTCGAAAATGTGAAAAGTTTACAGACAGACAGACAGACGCCGGAAAAAATGTGATCAGAAAAGCTCACTTGAGCTTTCAGCTCAGGTGAGCTAAAACAAGAGGCCCATGGGCCACATCGCTCACCTGAGCACTGTGGCTAGGAAAAAGTAGAAATTGGTTTATTATTGAAAAGTTTAAATCCAAAAAGTAGTCCCATGACCAATCATGGCTTTGCTATTCTTGAGAAAATTTTTTTAAAAATTTTCCTATATATTTCTATGCAAAAAATTTGGTTGGCCATTTTGGCCCTGCCCTACCCCTGGGGGTCATGATTTGAGCAAACTTGAATCTACACTACCTGAGGATGCTTCCATATAAATATGATCAATTATGACTTCACTATTCTTGAGAAGAAGATTTTTAAGATTTCCTATATATTTTTATTTAAAACTTGGGTCGTCCACTGTGGCCCCACCCTACCCCCGGGGATCATGATCTGAACAAATATGAATCTACACAACCTGAGGATGCTTCCATGTAAATATGATCAATTATGGCATTACTATTCTTCAGAAGAAGATTTTTAAAGAATTTTCCAATATATTTCTATGTAAAACTTTGGTCGGCCATTATGGCCCCGTCATACCACCCTGGGTCATGAATTGAATAAATTTGAATCTACACTACCTGAGAATGCTTCCATATAAATATCATCAATTATAGCTTTGCAATTTTTGAGAAGAAGATTTTTTTTAAAAATCCCTATCTATTTCTATGAAAAACTTTAGCTGGCCATTTTGGCCCCGCCCCTACCCCCGGGGGTCATGATTTGAACAAACTTGAATCTACACTACCTGAGGATGCTTCCATATAAATATGGTCAATTATGGCTTTGTTATTTTTGAGAAGAAGATTTTAAAAAAAAATTTCCTATATTTTTCAATGTAAAACTTTGGTCAGCCGTTGTGGCCCTGCCCTACCCCGGGGGGTCATGATTTGAACAAACTCGAATCTACACTACCTGAGGATGCTTCCATATAAATATGGTCAATTATAGCTTTGTTATTTTTGAGAAGAAGATTTTTAAAAAATGTCCTAAATATTTCTATGTAAAACTTTGGTCAGCCATTGTGGCCCCGCCCTACCCCCCGGGATCATGATTTAAACAAACTTGAATCTACATTACCTGAGGATGCTTCCTTATAAGTTTCATCTTTCCTGGCACAGTGGTTCTTGAAAAGAAGATTTTAAAAGAATTTTCCTATATATTTCTATGTAAAACTTTGGTCGGTCATTATGGCCCCGCCCTACCCCCAGGGTCATGATTTGAACAAACTTGAATCTACACTACCTGAGGATGCTTCCACATAAGTTTCATCTTTCCTGGCACAGTGGTTCTTGAGAAGAAGATTTTAAAAGAATTTTCCTATATATTTCTATGTAAAACTTTGGTCGGCCATTGTGGCCCCGCCCTACCCCCGGGGGTCATGAATTGAACAAATTTGAATTTACACTACCTTAGGATGCTTCCATATAAGTTTCATCTTTCCTGGCACAGTGGTTCTTGAGAAGAAGATTTTTAAAACATGCCACCAAATTTTTATTAATTCCCAATTATCTCCCCTTGAATGGGGGCGTGGCCCTTCATTTGAACAAAGTTGAATCCCCTTCATCCAAGGATGCTTTGTGGCAAGTTTGGTTGAAATTGGCCCAGCGGTTCTTGAGAAGAAGTCAAAAATGTGAAAAGTTTACAGACAGACGGACGGACGGACAGACGGACTACAGACAAAATGTGATCAGAAAAGCTCACTTGAGCCTTCGGCTCAGGTGAGCTAAAAACTGTTTGTTTGACTACTTACCAATAGCTGCAGACAGGTACATATGAGGTTCCTTACATTCTGTTGTTCCTCAATGCCTGCCTCCCTGTATCTGTACAAAAGTAATAACAAACTGAATATTCAGCTGTTGACAACATTATCAGAACACATGATGCACAAGAAGACTTTTAAAATATCAAGAAAACATACGGCTATATATTAGAAATTTTCCAAATAAACTGAATTTCAGAAAATACATTTAAGGTAGGACCAAATAGATAGGTGAAATTTTTCCTAAAATTCAATTTTTCTGAAACTTTGATATTTTGTTCTTGGATACAAAACCTCTATATATATATGATATGAAAGAAATTCAACCGCACATTTTTTGCCCATATAGTCTGAAATATGGCCTATCAGACCCCTGTAAGAAGAATGCAAAATCAGACATTCGACTTGAGAATGAGCCTTATTTTAGAATTTTCAATTGATCTATTGCAAATTTGTGTAATACTTTCAATAAAGATAACCTTTTTGTTACTTTAAATCAGTAAGTCACATTGATACTGGAAAATTTGGGTAAAATATTAAGTAAAATAGAACATACATTGTATGAGAAACTGAAAATTCACATGTAAATATCCGACAGTTTATGTTTTCTTAAGAGAAAATGTATAATTCAATTTTTACAAAAAATCAACAGAATGATTCAAACGGGTCCTAGAATAAAATGTGTAAAAATAAAGAAAATTGAACCGGTGGTTTAAGATATTTTGGCGATTAAAAAAAATGCAATGGCAAAAAAATGAAAGATTCAGGAGATGACGTCACAATATTTGACCTTTGACCTCGTGATATGACCTTGACATTTGTAGTACATGAAGAATAGAGACTCCTTATATATGTGTCCAAATATCTCCCCTCTACTATTTATGGAACAAAAGTTGCACTGCATTTTATAACAGACTGTTACATGCTTGTTTATTGCACTTAGATAGCGTAAACATATTCCAAAATGTAAGCTCCCAAGTGACCAATATATAGGATTCTCTGATTTTTTCACAAAATATAACGCAAATATGCCGAAACTTATTATTTTTCTTTCAGGGATCATTCATTGTTGTCAATATAGTAATATTATTCTTTTTTCCTCCAGTAATTTTTAAGAAATGGGTTAAAATAGAATTCTCGGGTGTTTTGTCCTACCTTAAATATTTCTAGTAAAATAAACACATATACATCATAAATACGCAAAATGTTTCAACTCAAAACAAGCTGTAATATTGAAAATGTCAAGATTTGAACAAAACACTCACTTAAAAAGTTTTTTTAATGTACTCACCCTACTTTTAGATAATGCTCAATCACTTGAAGGCAGAAAAATCTCACATGATCGTTCCTAAAAAAGGGGAAACTGCATTTATGAAAACATTCCTTGACAGTATTACATGCATTTGAAACAAGTACATCTCTGCACTTCAGAAATCATTCCATGACAATACTAGTTCATCTGAAACAAGTAAATCATAAGTTTGTACATCTGTCACATGCGCATGTAATACTAATCTTGTTTTGTCTAGGACATGTATATTTCAATGAAAATCAAATATTGTTTGAATACACCCCCCTCCATTAAAGACCAAAAACTCCCAGGTATTCAAGGACAACTGAAAAATATACAGACTTACCCAAAGTAACTTCCATTTGTAAATGCTGTGGCACATAGCTTCCATCCATCTCCTGAAGTTTTCAGTTGTTCAAAGTACTGGAGAGCCTACAAATAATAAACTTGGTATTAATCCGCAAAATAATATGCACAACTATTTTACGCCAGTTTTTTTTTTTTTTAACAGTAAGTTAATAAAAACCATCAAATCAAGAAATGAAGATTGGGTGAAAATTGCCTAGACATAGATGAACTTATCTTAAGTGTAGAATAACTGACTATCGGTAACTTATGAATTCGATGGACATTCAAGTCAAGATGAAAATTAAAGGGATATAAATGTACCATTGAAAAAATTACATATTAACAAATCTTTATTGGGAAACAAGATCTTGAACTCTTTCGGTATGAATATAGGTCTGCCATAAATTTCTACAATTCCACAGAACTGAATAAGACTGAATTAGAATATTAAATGAAAAGTCATGTATTTTTAAGCCTCAGTTTACCAGTACCTCTGATCAACAAAAATTAGTACACATTGCAATTTCTTAAAATTTATTCTTCACTGTAGATGAAAATCTGGATGTGAGGCTGACTTGTTTCTTTTGAAATGAAAATTCTTGAATTTTTCACTTAGTCTACAAATAAAACCTGTTTTACTTAATTGGGAATAGTTTCATTATCCTGGTAACCTGGTTTCCAAAAACTCCACCTTAGAAAATGAATGCCAAAAACACAAATAACTCCTGATGTGACTGACATTTATGTCAACAAAAAAATAATAACACCTAGTTTTCCTACCCTAGTCTGGAGCTGTGGGTCAGCTCGAGGGTCCAACCCACGTAAAGCATCCTCATCCATCACAAAATATACAACAGGTTCTCGATAGAGAAAAAATTCTGATGTTTCTATACCATGTCTAAAGCCTGCAAAGAATGAAACAAATATTTTGATTATCAGTATTTTGGTATCTTACTTAACAGTGTCCCACCCCCCTTTTTTTAAAAATGCATTTATTTTTGCTGATTTAAGTTTATCGTTCAAACATCATTATTTGAATTTTGAAATGTAATATGCACGTCATGCTCATGTTGAAAACCTTCAATTAAAAAGATGACTGAATTAGATATTCAAATTGAGATTATCTCTTTCACAAATTCTTGGGTTTTTGTATCTAAACTTCACATTCCATGAAAAACCAAAAATGGTATTACAATGTAAAATATATATGCCGGGAACCAGTCAAACCGTTCCCCACGAAAACCGTCCCGGTCAAAGCGTTCCCAGATTTTGGTCAATGCGTACCATGATTTTGGTCAAAATGTCCCCTGATTTTGGTCAAAGCGCCCCCTGACATATTTTATAGAAAAACGAAGTTTCCAAACCGCCCCCAAATTTTGGTCAAAATGTCCCCTGATTTTGGTCAAAGCGCCCCCTGACATATTTTATTGAAAAACGAAGTTTCCAAACCGCCCCCACATTTTGGTCAAAATGTCCCCTGATTTTGGTCAAAGCGCCCCCTGACATATTTTATAGAAAAACGAAGTTTCCAAACCGCCCCCACATTTTGGTCAAAATGTCCCCTGATTCTGGTCAAAGCGCCCCCTGACATATTTTATAGAAAAACGAAGTTTCCAAACCGCCCCCACATTTTGGTCAAAATGTCCCCTGATTTTGGTCAAAGCGCCCCCTGACATATTTTATAGAAAAACGAAGTTTCCAAACCGCCCCCAAATTTTGGTCAAAATGTCCCCTGATTTTGGTCAAAGCGCCCCCTGACATATTTTATAGAAAAACGAAGTTTCCAAACCGCCCCCAAATTTTGGTCAAAATGTCCCCTGATTTTGGTCAAAGCGCCCCCTGACATATTTTATTGAAAAACGAAGTTTCCAAACCGCCCCCAAATTTTGGTCAAAATGTCCCCTGATTTTGGTCAAAGCGCCCCCAGAATTTTTTTTTTCTAATATAGAAAAACGAAGTTTCTTACACTAAAATCTATAGTTAAATTGGTCAAAGCGCCCCCTAAAATAATTTTTTGGGGTTTACTTAGTTTACATTTAGGTCCAATAGAATAGAATATCTTTGCGATATTGCCAAAAAAGCATGTGCGTTAATTACAGGGACTTAAGTGAGGTTTTATGGTTAAGATCTAGTTAATGACTTTAGACTAACCTTTTGGTGCTATATCTATTATGAACTCATTACCAACTTCAACTTTCATTTTCCCGTACTTTGTTTTAAATTATTTCCATCCTTCTATGATGGCATTTTTTTTTTGCAAAAAAACTTATGAATTTATAAATTCATGCCAAGTATAGAACAAAAGTTTTTACTATAAGAATGCTTTTCAATAGGTGTAATGATAAATATTGTTCAGTAAAATAATTTTTAAAAATGTTTACTTTCAATTTTCAAACAATTTTCAATCTGTCAAAAATGTTGATAAGGGCATATGTGAGTGTGCAAAATAATTACACATGCAAATAATCTAATATTTGATAAATTTACATGTCTTTAGTAGTAATCGAGATTGGGGTATTAATTAGTAATCTTTAATGCGTTGAATTATTGATGTTAACTAGTTTCTTCTCAAAGTATAGCAAAAAACAAATATTAGAAACAAATATTGCAATACAAGTTTATAATAATGTTCAATCAAGTTGTACATACATAAATAAACAATTTTATTGCATTAAATAACATAATTTTCGTAGCATACTCTAAAGTACTCTGACGTACTCTAGCGTACTCCGTTTAGTAGTACCCAGTTTTTGCTTTGAACCATTAAAATTTCGAGGATGGAAAAAAACCTTAATTGAATGATGTAGAAAATATTCCTATTTTACAAACAATCGGAACAGTCAGTAAATTAGAAATTTATTAATGAATTTTGTGTGACATCATCACGGGAAGTTATAGAAGCTTGATACAAATTGCCAGAAAAATCCATACCGCCAAAACGATAAAATGACCAAAAGTATTAACACCCGTCGTTTACAGTGTTACAAGTTACGCAATTTCAAACCCCAATACTATGCGCGACGTCTATGTATTTTCGCTAGAGGTGAAATTTCAGCAATATAACGTACAATTTTAATCAAGCGAGTTTATCACTTGTAAAGACGACGATAATGGGTAGGTTGATGGATAAAATATAAGGATAAGTTAAATAATGTGCCTAGAATTAGGGAGTGAAAGGAAGTTAATTGACCGAAGTTGTAAAATCGTAAATTTCTCCCAAAAAGTGCGCAAAAAATATTGCGCTGTAAATTGCACCTTTTTTGCATTACGGGATGTGTAACGTTATGGTAAAAGGGATTTTGGTAAAAGACAAATATATAAAAACCATAAAGCTACAGATCTGCAGCAACGTTAACTCGTTTATTGTAATCAAAATTTAATAAGAATTGAGTTATCTTGCTGATACACGCGGGTTACAAAAGTTACAAAAGTACTGTGTCCAGTACTCGTAAGCTATAATGTTGGTAATTTTATTTCAAAAAATATAAATAATTGAGAAGATAAACAAAACACTGATTTTATGAAACATTCGTTTTTGGGTTCCTCGCGGCTGTTACTTGTAAGCAATATATTTGAGGAATTTAGGTCGTCTACAGAACCTTTCTATTCGCCGCAGTATTGGAAGTCAACCAATTAAAATTATGATAAGAAGATATTCAGCACTAATTCCGATATGGTTTATAAAAAAATGTTTTATCTTGGTATTATGGAATCAATCTATACGATGTTACATTGTAAATGTTGAATTTATTGGGGGAGGGGGGATAAATGCAAAATTGTTATCATGTTGTTAATTTTGCATTTACCTCCCCCTAGTAAATTCAAAATTTACGACATGATACAGAGACGAGAGACGTGGTTGTAAAGAAATGTGAGAATTATTGCTCGAATTTCCTCTATCGTCTATATGTATTCGTAAAGGTAAAGATAACGAATAATGATCGATCCTAACAGTAAAATTTTGTTAACACGGGAACACTCTGAAATATTGAATATTATGGACTTGTAACAGTGTTGACCAGAAAATAAAATAAAAAAATCTTCCGATCGCGGTAACATATATTCACACAACAGATAACTTGATTTTTTTCACACTTTCTAAAACCATAGTGATATATTTTATTGACGTTTTAACAAAAATGTTAAGGTTTAGTTGCTTTGTTGTGTTTATTCGCTTTTTCCCATAGAATAATAATAAAAAATAATAAAAAGAGACAATTCTTCATAATATTTAATCCTTTATATTAATATGGTCGATCCTCGCACTTCGTGCTCGGTCAATATGCTTTACTGTGAAGTCGACATATCTATGGATTGACTGAATTTAAGGGCAACATTTGTTATATTATTTTTTACAGAGGTTGACAAAAACAATTTGAAAAAATGGGAACAAACTAAAAAAGTTTTCTCTCTTAAACACTTCGAGACTAGAAATCAAAATAAATTTAGATGTTTCATACAAATGTGTTTCCTTTACATTTTTTGAGTAACTTAGAGGATTTACTAATTAAATATACTACAAATGTACATCTTTTTGATAATGTTTTGTATCAATTTTTATAATTGTGTAATCACTACTATTTATTTGTTGTTTTATAGAAAATTACCTCCATTTTAAGAAATATCAAGTCGATATGCATTCCAGATTCTATAAATAGTATGCTGTTATATACTTAATCATGTGACCAATCGGGGGGTTTGGAATATATGATTAAAATAATATGATGATATTTAATAAATTTCATATGGAAATACATTCATTATTTGAAGTAGTTTCACTCAAAATTAGAAACGAAATACGCAAGGTTGACCCCGATTACCAAACACAGACTTTCTGTGTAATATAAACGTATACACAGACTTTTGACATCTTGGGTATTTGGGGTCTCCAGGTAAATAACACCACTGTTACCTAGACCACTCCCCCGCCTCAGGTAACCGTACGGTAAAAAATGGACGCAATAGATAGGTCAAAATTCAATTTTTTCTGAAACTTTGATATTTTGTTCTAAGATACGAAATCTCTATATATGATATAAAAGAAATTCAACCAAACATTTTTGGATCACATAGTCTGAAATATGGCCTATCAGACTCCGGTAAGAAGATCGTAAAATCAGACATTCAACTTCAATAAGCTTTACTTTTAATTAGAATTATCAATTGATTTATTGCAAATTTGTGTAATACTTTTAATAAAGATAAACTTTTTATTACTTTAAAGCAGTAAGTCATATTGCTACTGGAAAATTAGAGTAAAATATTATGTAAAAATAGAACATACATAGCGTCAGAATTGAAAATTGACATGTACATATCCGACAGTTTAATTTTTTTTAAGTAGAGAAGGTATAAAACTTTTCTTTCTTTTTTTTTTTTTTACCAAATATCAACAGAATGACAATATTGATATTTGACCTCTTGATATGACCTTGACCTTCGTAGTACATAAAGAATGGAGACTCCTTATGAAAGTTTTTAAATATCAGCCCTCCAGTATATATGAAACAAAAGTTTCAGTGCATTTATGACAGACTGTTACATGCTTGGATTAAAATAACGTTAACGCAATCCAAAAATTATTTATTTGGAAAATTATTTATTTGGACACCCTAGACAAACCAGCGACTTAAATTTTTATATAGACAAAAATCATATTTGTCAATGCAACCAAGAAAATCATTGTGTACCGCTTTAATTTAATGTCACATTGATAATGCTAATTACTAGTTGGTATGAAGGACTATCTGAAAATTTAAAAAATTGACTATACAGGTTATACAGAACAAGATTATTAGATTTATTCTTGATGTTTCACCTAGATCAAGAGTAATTAAGTGTTACTGAATTTGAAAAATTGGGGTTTTTGAACATTAAAAGTAGAGTGTTAGGTTTACAATATTTT